CTTGAAGTGATTCAGAACCGTCCTAACATAGAAAAGGCTACAGTTAGGCTGTAATTCAGATATGTTTATCTCTAATGATGGACAAAACTAAAATAGCTACAAGTAGCATAAAAATATAATATGGTTAAAGGGTGGAAAATACTGTAAATAAAGATTGATTTATTAGGGTATTTTTAAAGCATGACAAAACCATGAGGCAGTGAGTTTGGGCCGCTCTATTGCTTGGCTGTGGATGCTAGAAGATCTCCTGTGTTCCCTAGCTTCTATATAAACATTACTTGAAGCATGTATAGGCTAAGTTTTAAAGCACAAAAGATTATTTTAATAATCAGTTTTACATTATTTTTCTTATAATTTCATTGACGTATTAGTGCATAAACATTAAGTTGAATAGTTTCCTGTGCTCATAGTTTTAAGACAAACTTACAAACAGCACAGAATATAAGGAAAGCTACATTTTTATGCAGTTTAAATGAATACAGTTAGGATTAGGACCAGGCTCAGAAAGACATCCATGAAGAGATTAGATCTTTGGAACCTAGATCATGAGGCTTTTTGTATTGAGCCAAGGGCTAAATGGGAAACATTGAAGGCAGGTAAGCCGAACAGTGTACAATATTTTTTAATGTTTTATCTATAGCAATATTTAAATAAATTAGAAAAATGAAAAGCCAGGTGGAAAATACAAGAGGTTAACTCTGTGAGGACAGGCACTTGGCTCAATACTGTACTGGCGTGCCTAGATCACGGTTGTCATCAGTAAGTCTGTGTGTTATATGAACGTACAATCTACGGCTGTCAGGTTGCAAGGCAGAAATGGCATGTGGAAAGTTGTGCTGGAGAAAAACTGATCAACTCTCGGCATCTACAAGGGAGAGAGCAGTGGAAAAGCCTGAGAGGAAGGGGCCAGGACCAGATAGAGTGCCCAGGGTGACGCCCTTGTGACCCACCCAGACACATTCAGACCTGTGCTTTACTAATCTCTTAGGCTGCCTTCAAGCCAATCAAGTTGACAGTCAAGATTAACCATGACTAATATAAAGGAGAGAGCTAGTGAATAGGCTTAGGGTGGAGCCTTCACCACTGCAGTGATGGCTGATCTAAAGAGGAAACGAGAGAGAGAGAGAGAGAAAGGTGATTCAAGAGACTACATTGGCCAAGAAGCGAAAGAACAGGAAGGAGGAAGAGCCTTCACCACTGCAGTGATGGCTGATCTAAAGAGGAAACGAGAGAGAGAGAAAGGTGATTCAAGAGACTACATTGGCCAAGAAGCGAAAGAACAGGAAGGAGGGTTCCCATTTGTGCATATCCAGCTTATAAATACTTTCTTTGGATTTGAAATTGAATCTTTTTTTTTTCAAAGCAGACTTTCTTTGAAGTTATTCTACTGTTAAAAATTATTGTAATGGGTATGTAAGAATAAATGTTGGGATCAAGGTAAAGCCCAGCAACTATCAGACAAATAAAAGTGTCCCAGAGGCACATGGAGAAATTTTAGGATGGCATCATGTTTTGGAATTTAGCACAAAGTTCTTTTACAGTTCTTTTTACTACATCATTAGCTAAATATATAAATTTTAGTATGTTATACATAGTAGTTAAGCAACAGGATAATTATATCACCAAAACTTGTTTACTCTGTGAATTTGTTTAATGCAGTATCTCATCAGTGGCCTACCCTAGGATATATTGATTCTGTTGTTTTATTTCTAGACATTTTTTGTGAAAGTTTATTTTGCCTAAAGCAGGCATATAGTTCAGCTATTAAAAAACGAAAAAGACATACACTCAGAAATAGGCATTGGTTTCTTACTACTTTATGGCTTTGATTATCATTCTGAATCCTCTTGCCAGAGTGTTTACTACACCAGCAAGCAGTAGGATTTAGCATTAAATTTTCATTTTGATTAACAACTGCAGTTGTTTCTTAGTTTCCTCTTTAGAGCCCACTGTGGACTAAAATTAAAAGTTTTTATGATATAACAATTTAGTTGCAGAAAAATGACATTTTTCTTTTTTCCCTGACTGGCAGTGTATTCTACCCCTGAATTTCTTCCATATGCCCCATGGCTCTGGTTGCTCTCTGCTCCCATCCATCTTTTATAATACCACCAGATTCATTTTCCTAAAACAGTTTTGATCATTCCATTACCCTTCCACAGCTCCCATTAACTCCCTCTTGTCTAAGTCCAAGGCTTCATCAGGGAGGGAATAACCCAAATGCTGTATTTTTCCTTTAACCTTTTCCTTATGTTCTCTGCTCTGAAGTCTGTCTGCATGCTAGATTTCTTGTCCTTCTTGCATAGCATGGGTCATGCCTGCTGTACATAAAACTAAATGTAGGGGCCGGGGATTTAGCTCAGCGGTTCGGTGGCCTACCTCTCAAGCGCAAGGACCCGAGTTCGATCCCCGGTACCAAAAAAACAAAACAAAACTACATGTGACCGCAGACTTCTTGAATGCAGGAAGTAAGTCTCTTTTATGTTTTGGGCTACTCTCCTATCACCTGTTCATAAAAGATTCTCAATAAATATTTGTTGGATAAGTGAATAATAAATAGAAACAAGCGAACTCCCTTCTTATACATTCATGATCCTCTTACCTTTTACTTTTTATTTCCCCTCAGCACCTCTCACCTTCTAATTAATTCGTAATGTAACTACTCACTTTTGTGGTTGATATTAGCTGTCTCCTCCCTGTCGGTGCTAAGCGCTTTGTTTGTTCTTTGCAGTGGCCCTAGTGCTCAGAACCCTGCTTGTGATACTGGTTGAGTGAATGAGTAATACTTGAAGCTGAAGGTCAGCTTCTCCATTTCTTGGGTTTTTGTCTGTCACTGATTTTCAAAATAAAGGACAGTGTGATAGGAAGATTAGGGAGACAAGTAGGGAGATCCTGAAGTAAGTTTCTGTCACCCTAAACAAGTTTCCTAACTGCTCTGTAGGTCATTTCTGAACCTGTTAAAGGATAACATGACTGGACTCACAAATGTTTAAAAAAGGATTAAGTTTTAGGGAAAACGCATACAGTAGAGTTAATAGCTGATGGTCCTGATCACTCCTAAGATGCAAGACTTGATGCTATGCATTTTCTTCTCCTTATCACTGTAACAATCCTGTGAAGCAGAGAGACTGTGGTTACTCTATCCTACAGGGGAAAAGAAAGGTGCTGCCCAAGACCACACAGTGCTGGATGGCACAATATCCACCCTCCAGCCCTGGTGCTTGAAACTGACTCCTCTGCCTGCTGTGCTTGCTCTTCTTGGTGGGGAGCTCTGCAGAGGGTTTGATTTCTTTCTTGGAGGAGTTCTAGACCTTTCCTTCCTGCCCTAACATGCTTGAGGCATACAGTGGACCTTTAAGTACCAGTGGGCCCCAGAAGAGGTCATTGTGTAAAAACTTGAAGGGCAGGGATTCTGCTTTCAAAATTTCTAACTGTACTGTATCCCTAAAATGTACCAATAAACTCAATTAAAAAGAAAAAAAATTTTCCCCCTTCTAAATAGCTCCCCCTTCCCCTCAACCCTGCTATTAATGTGCTTCTACCTTCAGGTCAGTTTGTCATTCCACTCCCACCTCCTTCACCAAAATAAAGCTTTTAATTCTTTGTATTTTCCACCACAAAGATAAAATATTCCTGCCTTAAGACTTTTAAAGCTCATTCATTGCATTATTGGTTTGGAAACAAACTGGACGGTCTATGGTTGGGATAACCAAATTGACCATTACTGCTTCTCTATTGATTAAAAAAGGCTTGAGGCCAGGGATTTAGCTCAGCGGTTTGGTGGCCTGCCTTGCAAGCGCAAAGACCCGAGTTCAATCCCCGGTACCAAAAAAAATAAATAAATAAAGGCTTGAATCTTTTAATTTCAGGGAGATTTTTATAAATGCCATTTCAAAATATATAGTTACATAACTAGTAATTCTTATTATAATAAAGTTAGCATCAAAAATAAGGAAGGCTGCTTTCTGTGTAAAGGAATTAGCCTTTTCAGATATTTTTATTGAGCATTTAGAAATGGCTCACCCAGAATTAATGATTTGAATTACATCAGCATCTGAAAAACATCGTTTATGTTTCAGGGAGCGTATTTGTCTTTTGAAATAATTTGTCATTGGTTCAAAGACTAAAAAGGTATTTTAGAAAATATTAAAAATAATTTTATTTGTATACTATAAAGTTTAATTATGCTTAATTGATTGGGAGATTTGGTAGGCCAAAGAACTGGCAGACATAAATTAAAAAGCAAATATAGGCATTTAATATCAAGTACTCTTTCAACAGACATAAGTATACTGTTAATTTTTTATAGCTTTGTTGCAGTGATTAAGAGCATAAGCTTTGGAATCGGTCTGGCCTAGATTTGAATTCCCATCTGAGAATTTGCTTATCTTACCTAACATTGTGAACCTTTATTTTTCTCACTTGTAAAGAAGGAGCAATATTTATTTCATTGTTATCTTATTATGTGAAATAATATTTTCAGTGTATCTAAACTATTCCTAATGTATTTTAGGAATGACTAAATTGTTATAATTGAAATATAATAATTTAGATATAATGAAGTGTTTGAATATTGCTTTGCCAAGTAAGTAGGAAGCATTTTTGTAGAACTCTGTACAGACACTCCTATTTATTGAGAGTTGGTCACTAAATGAGGAATTGTATTTAATATATACCTTACAGTGTTCACAAAAAGACATGCAGGTCAAAGGAAAGTAGATTGAGGGCCAGGGATTTGGCTCAGTGGTTCCGCCACCTGCTTTGCAAGCACAAGGACCTGAGTTCGATCCCTGGTACAAAAAAAAAAGGAAGGTAGATTGTTAAACAAGGGACATCAGTACACAGCTTTGAGCTTGATAGGGAATACTTCTGTTTTTTCACCAACTCAGAAGTAAACTTTATTTATCTGGGGCAGGATAAACTGTCAACTTCTACACTAGTGAAATTTTAACCAAGAAAATGTGAATTCTAAGTTTCACAAATAAAATTGTATTTTCCAGGAGAATGCGTAGAAGGACTGCGGGAGAATGATTACCTTCTGATTCATTCATGTCGTCAGTGGACCACCATCACTGCCCATAGTCTGGAAGAGGGCCACTATGTCATTGGGCCAAAGATAGAGATTCCCGTACATTATGCAGGTAAGATTCTCTTCGATGGCAAGAGACAGCAGAGAGGAAGGTACTCGAAGAGCTGTCATTTTCCTTCACAGTGGAAAAACAGGAATTGTCTATAAACCAGACTATGTAAGTGGTGAACCCATGGCACGCATGCCACCCTGGGTTCTTTGGATCATTGAAAATGCTAAAAGTTACACATTACCGAACTCTAAGACAGTGTAGTGGTTTAGAAAGAGAAGAATCAGACACTTTTATGTGGTTATTCAGACACTTTGATGTGGTTATTGAGTCTCTCAGTGAAAGCTTAGATTCATTTTGTCATAGATATTTCTAATTAATGCAGCTAGATATTCGTAAGATGAAAGCTTACAAAGAGAGAATTTCTGTGTAGTCTTAGAATTAATATAAATATGTGTAGCCAGCCGTTGAGCTTCAGGCACCCATGTCCTGAGTAACCCTGTGTATGGCTTCATTGTTGCTTTTGTGAATGACTGCAACATAATGATTTCAACAGGTGTGTTGCACAGGTGGGCATTGTGATTTGGTTTTCGAAGTTTTGGCTCAGAAGTTCAGAGCCATAGGCTTGTAGAACATGTTGCTTTTTCACATAAGCTTGTGGAACACAGCTCTGAGATGACCCCACTGTTCTAGTTAAGTGAAGATAACAAGGCATTTTAACCAATGACCTGTACAGCTCTAGACTGCCACGTTGTATCTGATAGGCCCTTATGTACTGCTCACCAACTTATCCATTCAGACAGGGCCTACTGTACTCCCATGGTCCAGAGCAGCATATGGCTTTTGTCCAATGTTTGTTGAATGAATGACTACTTTGGTACTCTTTCTGATTCCTAGGAGTCTTAAATTTCTGATCTGACCCAGGAATCACTGAGCTTCTCAGAAATCTTTCTTACTTAAAAGTATAATAAAGAGAATTTCTCTACCCTAAAACTTTGTCTTCTAATATTGCATTTTCTAGCACTTTGAGTAGCCTTCATGGAAAACAGGAAACACTAAACTGCAGAAGGGTTTGGTTTTGTGGGGTTGGTTAGGAACCGAGCAAGCGAGGCAGTTCTCATAGGAGTAGAGAACATGACGGGCCCTCCCCTGTGCAGGTGAGAGTTGCGTTACTTCTGTCTCAGACTCTGGTTTCTGCCTTTGTGGAAACTGAAAAAGAGGATAAATTGCAATATTGCTTCATCACAGAAACAATTTTACCTAATCTGCTATCCTTCTATTGGTAGAATGAGTTTTAGGCTTTCCCACTCCCAAAGCCATTGTAAATAACTCTGAAATCAGTCTTCCCAGAGGAAGGTTCTTGTTCGATCATTTCCTCAAATCTCTTTAGAGACCTCCATTCTGCCACTGGATTCTTTTTCTTTTTGTTTAGGGCCTCAAAAGTTCCAGTGTACTTCTCCAAGCTTTTCTATGCTGAGGAGGGAACCTTCCAGTCCAGCTGGATTAGTCACCTCACTGTTTCCTGAACATATTCACCACTTTTCTGTTAAAACGTTGCCCCTCTGAACTAGCCTTCCTCAGGCATGCTGCTTCTCCGAGTCTGTAGTTGGGTCAGAAGAGTGCAGAGGTCCACTGCCGATGGTGGAGAACGCTGAGGTGGTCTCCTATTGTGTCACGTTTATTTGACACACATTGTTACATTTTATTCAGTTACCTCTTCTGTGCATACCTGGTGTCCTTGAACAGTTGGACTATACACTTCTTAACAAAGTAGGCCAATTCTAAAAAACACTGCGTCCTTTGTATAAACAGTATACTTCCTTTATGTGTATGGATACTCCATATAGGAACCTCCAACTTGTGCATTGGAATCACCTAGGGAGTTTAACAAGTTGCTGGGTCCTGCCTCCAGAAGCTCTGGTTTAATTGGTCTGAAGTGTGGAGGGTGGGCATCAAGATTATTAAGTCTTACTCATGGTTAAAAATGCAACCAAGATTGGATATGAGTAGTAAGACAAATATTTGCAAATGTGTTAGTATTTTGAGCATTTGTTTTTACCTTAGTAGCCATCTTCCGATGGAAAGAAAAATAAGTCATTTTGCAAAGCTTAGTTTTTATTTAAAAGAAAGATAAAGGTATCCATAACTGGAAAACCAGGTATCATGTTGCAAATGGTACATACCTTACTGTTTTTAAAACGAAATTAATGTGCCAAGACAAAAATGAAATATAGACACTAAAAGATCACCCCACTTTACATTAAAGGAGAGAAAACATTAAAGAAAAATGTGAAATAGGACCAAATAGTCGATAACATCGTTTGCCGTTAGGCAAAATAGAATGCATAGTTGTCATGGATGTCAGTCTAAATTTTCTGAGCTGTCTTCCAGAATTGCTTCAGCAAGAAGCTCAGGTAGAAAATGTGAAATATAAATAGATATTGTCAATCACTTTGTTTTGGGGCCTCACCTCTTAAGATGGCACCAAGAACCGTGCTTTACGAAGAAAAAAATTTAGTGTTTTGCTAGTTTTTAAAAAATTTAATAGGCTAACATAAGTCAGGGTGATGTGTTATGATTACACTGTAAAACTGAGACTTGTGTATTGGTATCATCAATTTAGAAGGGTACCCAGCTTATAATGACATATATTTTGTTTTGAAGGATATACTTATTATGAGTTTCAGCCCTTGTAATAAAGAAAGCACAAAGTACATCATGGAAACCAAAAATATCATTTTATCTCTCTAGTTTATTTGTGTTCTTGTTTTAATTAGTAGAGGAAAACTTTCATCCAAGTATATATTACTGATTTATCAGAATCAGTAATATATACTAGGTTCATCTGGGTTGAGATTAATTGTCCATTCTTTGAGAAAGATTAACAAACAGTAAATGATTAAATATATTAACATCGTAGTGGTAAAAGCCCACCACCTTGATTAGATTCCTGGTTCTGTCATTTACTGTCTGCATTACTTTGGGCAAATCACTAGACCTCTGTAGATCGTACTTTTCTCGTCTATAAAGTGGAGCTAGTTATAGTTAGTTATAGTTAAGGCACCTGGGAAGATTAAAAGATGTAATGCAAATGTAACACTTTTACAGTTCTCAGCACTTAATGAGTGAGTGCTCTGTGGATGTTAATTAGTGGTGATGATCACAATAATGATACTAACAAAATGTTTAAAAGGATTTAATTCTTTTATCTTGCACTGTTAATTTCATACAAGTTGAATACTGTTTCTGTTTGCTGAAGCCAGCTGAACATTGGTACCCTTCAAAATTATTTTGGCTACTTTTTTTTTTTTTGCTTTGTTTTTTTGGTTTTAAGCTTTGCATTTTGAGGATGCAATAATATACTCCCTTATTTATGCAATTTTGCTCATTTTAACATCATTTGCCATGTTTGATTTTCTCCTCCCCACCACCACCATGTGCAGATATATACGCATTTTTTTCCTAGATTATTTGAGAGTAGACAGCATCCCCTAATACTTCCCTGGATATCTCCTAAGAATAACAATATCCTCTTATATAACCACAGTGCTGCTAGCAAGTCCAGGACAGTTAATACTTTAATCTACAGTCCACGTTCCCGTCCTGTCAGCTGTCACAATAGTGGCCTTTACTGTACTTTTCCCTCCAGAACAGCATCCGATCTGGGACCACTTACTGTATTTCATTGTTGTGTCTCTTCTGCATGCTTTTGTCTGGGGCAGTTCCTCAGAGTCTTTGTGTTTTGAAGACTACAGGCAGGTTGCTTTACGGAGTAGCTTTAACTTAGGTTTCCTGCGACTTGTGCTTAGGTTCTGGCTATGCGTTTGGGTCTAGCCTACTGTGTCCGTGACGTTGTGTCCTCAGGAATGACATCTTAGGGCAGGGATGTCCATCTGCGCTCATTGATGATGCCACTTTTGATCACTTGTCTGATACCTTTGCTGTGGAATCACCATTCCTAGGATAGCTGAAGACCCATAGCTGTCGTACTCCTCGTCTAGATCTTCCTGCCCTTCACTCCGCCCTGATCGAGCAGTTATAAATCACTCTCCGTTTTGGTTTTTATTACGAAGATGGCAAAACAGTGCTTTTCTACCTTAACTCTGTCATTCCTTCTTGTATTTGTTAGTCTTTGTTCTGATGTAAGGAAGATCACACACTTCTCCGTTTATTTGCTTACCTGTTGTGATTAGCATGGACTTAGGGACCTGATGCCATTCAGGGGTTATATAAATATGTTAATGTCCTTTATGCTAAAGCCCAAATTATCTGGAATTTGGCCATTTGAGCAAAAGCTGGCACCTGTATCTTAGTGACTTCCTCCCTTCATTTTTTCCAGCATGTCCTTACTTTCTGGCATAGGTAGCGGGCATTCTTCTTAGTCTGAGCTGCCGTACTGTCCTGTTCCAGGCAAGGCCCCTCACTTTGTGCCCTTTGTAGATGGAATCTCTTGGACTTGGGCAGTACACAGACTGAGCAACCACACCACAGCAGTTATATTCATGCATATCCTATAGTGGTCAGACTCAGCAGTTTTAAGAAATCACAATTCAAAGTACATTTCTATAATCCGTATCAGATTTTCAGGAAATCCCACAGGTAAGAAAAAAAAAAATAACTTCACAAAACTTCGATAAAAGCCAAATATGACTTTAAGTTTGTGTCCGAACTATACCCTGAAATACGAAGCTCCTTCCTCTAGATTCTGAAATTATTAGAAATGTTTTGGACGAAGACTTTTCTTATTCTGGCAAAATGAGTTTTAATTTTGGGGAAAAAAAAGTTTGCTTGGTAGAACAGTCAGTTCCAAGAAAGAGAATGTGTTCAGTCAGCACCATGTTTGCTGACAGTGGAGAAACTGCTCAGAGAAGCCGATGTTGTGTATAGGGGTTGCCACTTTCATACTACTGTTACTCAAAAGGCATCACAGATACATTTTGTCTCCACCTTCTAACTTCTCATTGATTCCAGACGACAGGCAGAGATTTCCTAAAAAATACAATACAGAGCTCAGAATTTTTCTGTTTCTGCACACTGAGAACATCTAACTTCAGAATTGCCTG